ATTGAACATATAAAATCGACCGTATTGAACTATTGAACATATAAAATCGACCGTATTGAACTATTGAACATATAAAATCGACCGTATTGAACTATTGAACATATAAAAATTTCATTGGACATATGATCAAGGCCAAACACTGCGAAGAATAAACACTAATTGCATGAAATAAAATTATTTTACGAAAATATAAAGTTTATTATGAATGACGCCAAAACGAAAGCCTGTAAGTAACGTTCTTATGCATCTCATAGTTTTCACCTAACGGGGTTCAAGGGCTAAAACTATCAGATGCATAAGAACGTTACTTAACAGGTTTTTCATTTGTCGTCACATTTATATCGATATATTACATGCATTTTTATAATATATTTTAATTGGCCAGTTGTCATGTGATCCAACAATTAACGAAAATTTAGATATATTTAGAAATCTATTTTCTTGGATACTTTAGTATATAGAGTATATAGTTGGGTAACATTTATAGAAACTTATGGAAAAAAATAAAATTCCCATTCATTTTCGGCAAAAGAAAGTTCAGTTAGATAGACGAGATTTTAAATAGTTACCGAATTTTCGGGTAACTTAATCCTAACGAGATTGAAGATTAGATGAGCGGGAATCATTCGACGAGGTTAATATCAATTACAGAATTATATAATAGTCAAATGCAAATTTATCTATAAATGCTTTAATTACATAAGGTAGCATCTTTTATCATCTTAATATAGGTGTGATCAACTAATTTAATCTATCGATATCTCCATCTCTAGTTCACCATCTAGCGCGCTTCTAATAATGTAAATAAAATTTTATTGAAGCACATTGCGACAAAGAAGACAATATGTGTTTCATATCATTTATACGTAATATTTTCATTCAATGACTTGAGTTACAAAAAATTTTACAACACTGTTCGTTTAAACTATTTTGGTGTTCGTGTGGCGAAATTATATCACAAACAAGCATGCAAAATAATTCTATTTAAACTCTACTTTTTGGCGCCCTCGTCAAACGTCAAAAGATACAAGTTTCATTTGTATATATATGCTTATATTACGAAGAATGTGCATTGTCGTACACGGCGTTCGTTGTTTTGACTAATTGATCAGCAATATTTATTTTCTCACGACTTACGTATTTCAATATCTCCTATTTCGAGATTATCCCAATTTCATATAAAAATTCACTTCCTACCTAATTTCTTCATTCTCCACCATTTTCCCTTGCATACCTTTTGTAAATAATTTTCATAATGGTTCACGCACTTCTCATAAAAATTTTAAATGTATTAGCTTATGTTTTTCTTTTGAGTGCAAACGTGTACTCTGGTCTCGAAAGTGACGACGTAAGTTTATTATCATCCTTTTCTTTAACGCCTAGAAAATATGTCTGATATATAATTTCCGTGTATTTTTCCCAAAATTTTATAGAGTGGTTCTCCTTATCATAATTCCCACGTAACTTATATCTCTCCAGCTCCTTTTGTCTTTGGTGTTTGGGGTCTTATTCACTTATTATTAGGAGGCTTTGGTAAATAATTTGCTAATTTATTAATTCTTTAACTTGCTTCATCTTCAATTGGTGCTCAATTATTTGTTTTTCTTTAGTCATTTATCAATTCTGGGATTCTGCTAACGAAGTCGTTACTGAGGTTGTCCACTGGCATTTTATTTGCATCGCACTTCTTAATACTTTATGGTTAACTTTATGGGTTCGTTTTTTCTCTTTACTGCGTCCGTTAACTGCGTCATTTACGTTAAAGCTCACCATTTAAAAAATTTTTTTTATTTAGGAAAATAATTATCTAATTCTTGCAGTTATTGTCGTTCTCTTCATCTCTGGCCAAATTTCATTCGTCTATTATCATCTCCAAAGACCCAATTTTGTTGCTCAAAATTGGGCCGACAAACTCTTTATTCATGCTCCCTTCTCTTTGTACCACGCATGGATCGCTGTGATTCTAACTCTTAGCATTTTCGCCGCTGTCACTCCTGAAAAGACTGATGAGCCCCCGATTCTTCTTGTTAAAATTGTTGTTGTAATCGCACTATTTATACTTAAGAGTTTGTCTGTCGCCTACATTGAAGGTGGTAATAGCGATATCGCTGGTTCTATTGTTATTGCTTGGACTTTGATTGGTATTTTTGTCGAACAACAAGACCCAATTATCCATTGGACTTCTCTTGTCCTTGCAATCCTCTCAATATTCCATATTGTCAAGGGTATATTCGTCCTTTTCAATCGGGCAAGGAGTGGGGAATATCAACCATTGAACCCTTAAAGGGTATATTCATCCTCACCCTTAAAATGAACTATGCTTTTTTTTTAATTTTTATACCTCCATTTGATGCTTTAAATAAAATTTTTATACGTTAGGTGAATTTTTCTATCATTTACATTTTACATTTATATTTAGTTACGTGTTTAGTTGCTTTTGACGACAATATTTTTATATTATACAGTAAATAATTAAAGGTGTCTTCATATTCTTAAAAAATAAAATATCCGAAGTATATGTTAGCATTTTTGTATTTTATTTAATATAAATATAATTGTCTACGTATACGTCGACTTAGTTTTCATTTAAACAAATTACTAAGGTGACTATAGGAAAGTAGAGCACATGATATAAAAAGTTATGCTACCAAATTTATCGAACAATAGTGGATAGCTAAATATATTATCACTATTGCTCGTGAATTTGATATTTTTCATCACATATTCGAACTTCTTTGGTTGTCTAAGTTGGAGTTAAAATCCGGATAAGAGGATGTATGTGTATTTATACTAAGTTCCGAGCTTGAAAGCAGTTCAGAATATGCACTTAAAAAGAATGAGAATGTCACTTACAAGAGTGTACTTGGGAGGTATGGCACGAGTACGACTAGTAGATAAGTAATAGTTATATCCTGGGCAGTTGGGTATAAGCGGGGCTGAAAGTCCCGCTTGTACACATAGTGCCCAGGGTATAACTGATTTATGCCCTGCGATCTTGATATAGTGACCAGGGTATAAAAATACTAATAACCCTTTTTTAAACAATAATATTAGATATTTTTTGGGAACGCCTGTTTCCACCACAGAAAATTTGCTATTTCATCCATGCCTTTAACACGACTTAATATGACAAATATCCATAAGCTAAATTACGACCAATGGTGAAAATAGCAAAATTTCATGATGGAAGTAGATGTTGCCATTTTTTTTATTTATGATTAATTTTTAAATTAGTGTATACGTATAAGCTATATATTGGAATTATAGCCTATTGGTTTTATTTTTTTTATTTTATTATATATAAATTAATTTAAAATTTTGAAATATAGTGCTAAAAGCTTTAAATCTATATAAAAAATAGCTTTGTAAAAAGGTTATACCTTCTTTAAAAATTTACTAAATACAAAAATATACTACAAGATTTATTCTTGTCTTTAAGAACAAAACTTGTGGTTTTAATTTAAATTTAATATCAAATTAAAAGAGTAGTAATTATTTAAACCTATACTATTTTATTAAAAAATTTCAAAAATGTAAACATATATAATTTTTTTTTAACCAATCAAATTGCTTTATTTAGTTATGTGTTTTGCTTTTAGAAATAATTAAACAAAATTTGTTTTATTTTTGATTTTTTAAATTTAAAAATAATTTATTTTTGATTTAGTTTATTAATATTATAGTTAAATCTTATATATATATGCTTTATAAATGCTTACTTTTTACTATATAATTGTATTTTATATCTTAGTTTTAACTATTGTAATAATAATATATATAAAACTACTTTTTATAAATACTATATACACTTTTTACAAATATATATTCATAGTTAATCTTAGATGTGTATATATTAGAGAAGTATTATATATATATTTATTAGCTTATTTTTTGTAATAAATTACATCTTTCTTTTAATTAGTAATTCATAAGTCAATTAGAGAATAATTATAGTAGTGCTTGGCAAAATCAAACAAAAACTCAATTATCGAGTTTTTGAATCTATTAGTTTATAATATTATGTTAAATACAAATTTTATTTTTAGTATACAGTATATATAAATCTAATAGAAATCTGATCTTACTTTAAACTTTGTAATAACTAATATAAAGTTTAAAGTTAAATTAGAGTAAACATAGATTTTATAATTAAAGTATAATACTATAAATTGATAAATTCAAAAACTTGATAATTGAGTTTTTGTTTGATTTTGCCAAGCACTAGATTATAGTAAAACATTATATAAATTACTTATAAAAATTGTAATTTTGTAAATATGATATATATGTATCTAAAACTTTTTTTTTATACTAAGTTAATTACTCTTTTAACTTAAGAGGCTTTTGTAAAGCTTGTTAAGATGCATTTAATAATGGTTAAATTATTTAAATTAGTTTGGTTGATACCAAAATATCTTTAAAAAATCTTTCTTTATCTACTATATATAAATTTCTTTAAAACAATACTATTGTTTTATAAAAAATTTTATATAGTTAAAAAAAGATTTTTTTAAAAATATTTTAGGCTAATTTAGAAAATTTAACTACTATTAGATATATCTTAGCAAGCTTTACAAAAGTTTTTTAAGTTAGAAAAATAATTAACTTAGTATAAAAAAAAGTTTTAAATATATATACACCATATTTACAAAACTTCAATTTCTATAAGTAATCTGCATTATGTTTTATTATGATTACTCTCTAGTTGGCTTGTGAATTACCAATTAAATAATTATGATTATATATAAATATATATATATAATCTGTTAAATAAATATATATATATTAGTGATTAGATCCATCCAACCTGAATGACCCATCAGGCTGATCCAAGTAGACTAACAGGTATTCTTAGCCAATCATTGATGTTTGTTTACATCAAGTAAAATAGGATTTACATATCCTATTTTACCTAATGTAAACAAATATTAGTGATTGGCTAGAAATACCCATCAGTTTACCCGAATTAGCTTAATAGGTTACCCAGGTTGAATAGGTCCAATTACTAATATATATAAAAACAAAATAAAACAAAATAAAAAACAAAATAAAAAAAAAATAAAAAACTAAAATAAAAAAATATAAATAATCCAAAATAAAAAATAGTTATATTAGGTGTAGCAGCTTAGTAAAGTGGTCTAGCTGTCACTCTACCAAGTAGTATATTTAAGGTTCAAATTCTATTAGTAATAGAATTCAAATTTTTGGTTATTATTATAACTATTCTAATATTAGACTATTAAGGCTTGTAATTTTGATTATACTACATAGATTTATAGAATGCTTAAGTTGTATAAAAAATATAGAAGCTTGTTTGGCATTTATGGAATATTCAAGTTGTATAAAAGAACACAAGCTAATTAATTAGTATTTATAAAATACTTAAGTTGCATAGAAGCAAAACTAATTAAGATAGTACAAACTCAAAATAAGTTTGAAGCAATACAAAAATCTAAAGAATATTCTGGAATAAAATCCTACTTGGCAAGTTATAAATATATTATTTATTTTAAAAGAAACTAAGAAGTTATATACTAAATTAAAGAAATATAAACTATAGTTTGTAATTTTTAGCATACAATAAACTAGTTAATATATATATAAATAATTAAGTTTATTATAAAACTTCCTTTTATAAACATGTCTAAGATCCAAGAATAAAACATTAAATATTTAGATAACTAGATTTAAATAATACTAAAAGTATTAGCTATTTTTAATAATTAAAAATCTTCTAATATCTTTCTTATTTCAAAAAAATCTAATTAAAATTTTACTCTTAACCAAGTTTATCTTATATTTATTATAGAACTCTTTAAAAAAATTTTCACAAAAATTTTTACTAAATAACTAGACAAAATTATTTCATTAAATAACCTTCTCTCTAATCTTAACTATATAGCTCCTAAAAATTTTTCAACATACACTTCCATTCAAATTCTGTATAATACAATAAAATACTACATCTTATATAACAAAAAAGCTTGAATATTGTTTCAAGACATATCTAAAGCTTTTGATAAAATTAATATTAAATGCTTACAAGAGGCTTGCCAAAGAATTGGCATCTCTTTTGCAAGTATAAATCTAATAACAGAACTCTATATCTCTTATTTAATAAAAGTAATTATAGCTTATAGTTTAATATTACCAGTTTATATTAAATTAGATATTGAACAAGGAGAAACTTACACTTTTCTTCTTTGGAAGATTTATTATAATCTAATTTTTACTTTCATCTTACAAAAATTTAAAGATTACTTTCTCAAAATTTTTTCTATCTTATTATTTAATATAATCTCTAATTCAAATCTAATTTTTACAACTATTCTACTATTAGCCTATATAGATGATATTGTTTGGCATACTAAATATCCTAAAATTTTACAAAAAATTATTAACAATACCTTTTCTTTATATAACAATATTAAAGTTAACATATCCAAATCTAATCTACTCTATATTATCTCTAAAAATACCAAAATATCAAACTATCTACTTTTCTTTAACAACCAAATAATCAATTCCAGAAAATCTACAAATATAATTAGATACTTTAATATCTACTATAATAGTAAAGACTTTATCAAACCAACACTAGAAATAATTTACAAAAAAATAAAAAACTTTTTATTATTTATTAGATTTAAGAAACTTCATCTATTCTAAATTTCTTCTCTATTTAATTTTATATTTCAACTCTTACTTGAATATCTATTACAAATTATACTAATTCAAAAAAATATACAAACTAAACTCTCTTATTTATTTTTTATACAAGCAAAAAAAATACTCTTACTAGCCAAAAACACTAATAATACTTTATTAACAAACTATCTTACTTTTAATCTTTCAACATTTAGCAATATAATTCAAAAAGTTAGTATTCCTAATATTAAATATATCTTTAATACTTCTACACTTCTCTATGAAATTAATATTTCTTAAATTAAATTCTGGCTTTCTAAAATACTGTATAGTGTTCTAGCTTTACCAAAAAAATGCTTTTTTTTCACCATTGAAAAACTCACAACTATATACTCTTATACAACTTGCTAAAAATAATATAATAGTCTTTTTTTTATCTTAAACTGCAATTTATTTTTCCTTTATTCTAGAATATTCATATTTAATCTATGATATACTTTCCAAAACTCTTAACAATCTTACAACAAATAGTTTTAAAAACAATTAAATCTTATTTATAAAACAAACTACAACTGCAAATAACAAATTTCTTTTTTCTTAAAACAATATTTACTTTCAAACAAACAAAGCAACTAG